ACATAGGATAACTGAAGGCAACAAGTTACTGGAATTAAATCAACCAAAACAAAACAACTAATAACAACTAATGTTGTTGGCCATCACAAGAAAATATGGAAACTGCTAGTAAAAAACAGAGCAATATGCAACTAAGTGGATGCATAAGCTGTGTATGAGTGTTCAGTTAGGTGTCTGTCGATGAAGCCTGTAGTTAGGCTGGCCACTGAAAGTATTTACAATAGGGATTAACAGGCAAGCAATTGGGATTTATATGCAACCAAACCAATCTGTCGTACCAAAAACAACAAACAGATGCAGTCTGCTGCTGCTGCATCTAATTGGGTTGGAGTTACAGAAAAGGAGAAGAGTTCAAACCAATTAATAATTGGTGGATGCAGCAAACAGATAGCAGGTTCCTATTCCATGTTAAGCACTGTCGTTGTTTCAGACATCCCGAAGCACAAGGTGCGACTAATGGAGCACGACCTGTCGGCGGCGGAGCAGGTATAGGAGGCCGTCGACTGTCTCCCGGCGCGGCTGCAAGCCATGCTAGCCACCGACGCGCCGTCTCTGGCATCAAGGAAAGACAGATCCACGGCGACATCAATCCACAAAAGACAGATCGACAGCAAGGCAGCAAGCAAAGCAGCAAATCCAACGCAAATCTGACCTCATCCACACCTGCCCCTGCCAGAAACCGCCACGCTAGCTCCGAACGTAGCAGCAGCTCCGCCGGTCTCAACACCGCTCACACTAGCACTCCCTCGCTCGTCATCTCCAGCGGACATGAAGAAGAGACATCACCGACGGCCCGCGCAGGCGTCGCCAACACGGATGAGGGTGCCGCATTGTCCTCATCGATGCTGGTCCTCCCATCTCCTACCCCATCGATCCTCGTCACCCGCTTACATTCCAAAATCCAGCACCCCAAACTCATTCCCTCTGCCCTCAACATAGTACAGATCCACGAAATCTACTCCACCATTACGAAACGGGATCGAGTACACACCTTCGGCAACACTCCATGACGGGGAAGCACGGGTTTGCCGGAGCAATCGCCGCAGCGCCGATGAAATCGTCTTGGGCGCGCCATGCGGGGCAGAGCGTTGCGGGGAAGAAGACGACGGGGATTGGGGAAATGAAACGCTAGGAAACGGAGATGCACAACTCCCAATTTGGAACAGTAACGCTCAGAGTGGGCCCTCCATGACAGCCACAGAAACATCGGTGGCAACGACGCACGCACGATGCTCATCCAACGCCTAGAAAAATCGTGTGCCAACATCCAACAAAACACACGCGTGTAGTATAGCAATTCTGTAAAATAAAGTGGTCATGAGTAATTGCCTCAAACCTTTCTCACATTTGGTCAAGTTGTCCAATGAACCGGCGTAAAGCATAGGATAACGTAACTAGCATCTTACTAGCAACCCCTCATCACTATACGCACCAAATTCATCGCATTACCTAGTCACAACATAATACTCTGCTTGTTATGCTCACTCATGGCATGTGGTAAGTACGATTGGTGCTGAAATTGATGAGAAAAATGGTCCTTAACCAGCTCAAGCGAGGTAGGACACCAGAGAACTTGTCGTGGCATGACCCCTAGCCCTCGCTGAGCATCGATCATCATTAATATATTGGTTGATCTTTTAGCGCTTTCCTCTTTTTGGTGTTCATTAATTAATCAAACAACTCCTATAAGCTCCCAAGTAGTGAGACACTCATCACATACTTGACTTCTACAATACTGAGCATAATAAGCATGGTTACGATCAACTCTAGCAAGTAAACAATCGATACTTCAAGGCATGATTGTGAAGAACAAGGAATAAAAGTTGAAGTGGGTTTCATCTAGGTCATGGTCATACACAGATAATATGCAAGATTGATAGCACATATTCAAGTTCGTGCATTTGGAAAATGTCAAGAATGCTTAGGTGCCTGCCATGAGGATTAGCTTGAGGGTCAACGGTTCGGGCTCAGCGACAAAAACTCGGTCTCGGGTTCAAGGGTAGCTGCTGCTCCTATACAAGTGCACACGATGCATAAGTTAGACGTGATGCCATGCCTGGAGTGCTTTTTGTATGAAAACTATAGAAATACTTTAGAGATAAGTAAGAACATAAATAGGGCTTTTGGGTTAGCACTCAAGGGTTAAGACATAACCTTACAGGATAGAAAGGGTGTTTGGACGGTCCACCTAGATATGTTGGACCATCCGAGGTGTCAGGTCAAAGTGTCTACTGGTTGTGCTTCACTGCTTCTCTACGCAATTATATAGGCCGTCCGGAGTAGTATGACGGTCCGTCCGTCCAATCAGAATAGAGGTGGTGTGTCTTTTATCTATTCCTCGATTATGCTATCAGATCGTTCGAGGACTATCTCGGTCTCTCGGACCATCCGTAGGTTCAGAATCAATGCTCTGAGTTTCTGCAGAGCCCTCGGACCATCCGAAGGTTCAGGATCAATGCTCTAGGTTTCTGCAGAGACATCCTAGAGGTTTTGAACTATCCGGGGATGTCAGTGAGCTTTGGATAGGAATTCACAAGTCTCTGCAGATTCTTCTTCTTGGTGGTGCACTCACACCGTCCGTGAGGTCTCACGTACCTGTGGAGCCCGTTCGGATGGCTGGAGCTTGTGGGATACGATCGTAAATTTCTAGCCGGAACAGTATTTTTCTCTCGCACAAACTAGCCAGCAGTACTTCTTCACGAATCAGCGACGAAACAAACCAGCCAAACGAACATGCTAAATTCCTGACATTGTCCGTTCGGTAACTGCTAGCTGCGGGACCGTCGGACATCCGGACATTGTCCGTGAGGTAACTGCTAGCTGCGGGAAAGCACTGAGCTGAGAGCTTGTCACGCAGTATTTTGCAGTAGACACAGGCAGGCTGCAGCTGAAGGTCCTGGTATTCGGAACTCGGGGGGCTGGTTTTCAGAACGCAGGGCGGAGACACAGTCCACAGCAGGCAACAAAAAAAAGAACACGCGTACGTGCAGTGCACGGCTGCTGAATCCTGATTCCGGAGCCGGCGAGCCGCGACTGAGCTCTCGGTTTCAACGGGTTTCTCAGGCAGGCAAACAGGGTGTACCGTCGTTCCTGTCGTCTGTGTACGAGTGTAAACAAACGTATTGGAAATGTTATGTAGCGCACGCGGCACGTCAAGAATCAACTGCCTCCGAGTCCGAGGTCTGAGCAGCTGAGAACGAAGGGGTGGCCGCCGGTCAAGAACAACCCAGGTCCACGACGCCAATCCCGGGTAGGGCGGGGACGCGAATCGCCCGGACACGGTGCAGTCTTGAGCGCGACGTACACGTCGTGTCGTGTGGCCCTGCCGATTCTGTCTGCGATTGGATTCGTGCGCAGTCATCCCCACCCAAAGTTTTTTTTTTGGCAAGCAACCGAAAGTTCTTGTCGTCGGTAATGTAACGTGTAGTAATCTCTATCTGTTGGATGTCCCAGGTAAATATCTTGGAGATAAGCTCCAAGGGCGCTGCCGATGGCCGTGATGATCCGATCCACAAACTCCAATCAGAAAAGTGGTCGAGCAGGGGTCACGCTGCCATCTCCGTCCATCGCATCACGCTGGCAATGGCATTGGTCCCGTTTTCTTGGTTGAATTTGGCTGAAAAACGCTGTTCCGGCCGAATTATTGTGAGAAAAAATACTGTTCCATCTAAAAAAAAGTCGAATAAACTAGATTATAAGGTAAGCCGAACGGGGCCATCATGTTTTGTGCCCTCTCCAACCGGCGTCCTGACAATACAAATATCCGATCCGAATCCGATGCATCTCGATGGTGTTGTGCTAGCTATAGCTAGGGACGACGTGCCGTTACTGCCACTGCGTGGTTATCTGTCCTACTCAGATTGGATTTTTTCGACTTGCCTTGCAAGGATGGGAATGGAGTGCTCAAAATCACCAGCGTTTGTGGACACATTCCGCGAGCTCCCGTCGAGCCGATGCGGAGTATGTTGCATGGACAGACCGGCCGAGTGTGCGTTGCTTCATTTCTCGACAATTAACTAGTAGGAGTATTACATGAAAAAAAAAACTAGTAGGAGCATCGTTATTATAAGCATTTCAGTTGGACACGTCAGTCTTCTTGCAGTGGACAGGAAGACCAACGTAACTGAAGTGAAGTTACTACCGCACATCATGCAATATTATCTGCTTCGAAACCAACGGGGGCACACACGGTTTTATTAAACCAAACCGAGGCCCTGGCACCGCCGGAAATGAAATCCGCCGTCGTAATCGCAGGCCATTCCCGTGGACGACCGCCGCCGTGTCTACGCCTCAGTCGGATCCCATCCAACGCAACGCACCCAGTGTCCCAGTCCAATCCAATCCGACGGGTTATCCCGCACCCCTCGTATATAAACCCTCCGGCGCGCGCGCGCGCACACACACACGCTCCACGCAGCTCACGAGATGATCACTCCCACGCCCACTCCCACTCCGGACGACACCGATCACACGCTCCAGCTTCGCAAGCAAGAACCCGCGGCGAGGGCGAGGATGGAGCCACCACCCGCCACGCCCATGGGCGACCTCATCCCGGGGCTCCCGGAGGACATGGCACGGGAGTGCCTGCTGCGCGTGGGGTTCCAGCAACTCCCCACGGCGCGCCGCGTCTCGCGCGGCTGGAAGGCGGAGCTCGAGTCGCCCTCCCACCACCGCTCCCGCCGACGCCACACGCTCCTCGCGCTCGCGCAGGCGTGGCCTCCGCTCGCCGGCTCCGGCCCGGCCGGCAAGTACGCCGCCTCCGCGCCGGATACTCCTTCCGCCTCGTGCTGCACGACCCGGCCGCCGGCTCGTGGGCGCCGCTGCCCGCTCCCCCCGGCGGCGGCCGCCTCCCGCTCTTCTGCCAGCTCGCCGCTGCCGGCGAGGTCGGCCCAGCGGCGAAGCTGCTGGTGCTGGGCGGGTGGGACCCGGAGACGTGGGCGCCGACGGCGGCGGTGCACGTCTACGACTTCCTGTCCGGCGCGTGGCGGCGCGGCGAGGACATGCCGCCGCCGCGCCGGTCGTTCTTCGCGTGCGCGGCGGTCGGCGGCAAGGTGTTCGTCGCGGGGGGCCACGACGAGGAGAAGAACGCGCTGCGGTCGGCGGCCACGTACGACGCCGAGGCCGACGAGTGGACGGCGCTCCCGGACATGGCAAGGGAGCGGGACGAGCCCAGGGGCGTCTGCTTCGGTGGAATGTTCGTGGTGATCGGCGGGTACCCGACGGAGGCGCAGGGCCGGTTCTCCGGCTCCGCGGAGGCGTTTGACCCGGCCACGTGGTCCTGGGGCCCCATGGAAGAACGGGTGATCGAGGATGGCGCGTGCCCGAGGACTTGCTGCGCGGTGCCGGACGCCGCGGGGAGCACGATGTACATGCTCCGCGACGGATGCGTCGTGGCGCGGGACGCCGAGGGCGGCGACAGCTGGCGAACGTTGGCGCGCCTGCCGGAGGACGCGCGCGCGGCGACCACGGTCGCGTCCATCGGGGACGGCCGTGTGGTCGTGCTCGGCGCTGAGCACACAGTGTACGTCCTGAGCCACAACCAGACGACGCCGTCGTGGACGCGCGTCGCCGCGCCGCCGGAGTTCGCCGGACATGTGCAGGCGGCATGCTGTGTACAAATATAGGGATGTACTCTGTACCAGCACTCCATTTGACTACAAAGTTGCCAGTCGATGGATAATCTTCCCTTAAAAAAAAGGCGTGGATAATCTCGATACTGCATGTTACATCATGTCATCCGGTTGAAACCGGTGGCAACTGGCGTCTAAAGTTGACGAACCAGGAGGCTAATCAGCGAAGCCGATTCTGCAACCAATGGCCAAAAACGTTACAAACTATTACGCCAGCAGTTGTTAGCAGTAGATAGGGAATTTCATTCGATTTACAACCAAAATCATGGATTTATGGCAAATTTGAGTGGTAGGAGGCACAACGTCAAGTCGGAGAAAAAAATCGGTACGTTTTGTCCGCACGTTGTTTCGGTAGGCATCTCGCCTAAAATAAAGACACGCGTCCAACATTCTATCCTTGTCATGGCTCCTCATCCACTCGGTTCGCAAAATCACACCTCAGTAGCTTAGCTCGTGACTTCGCTTGCAGCCCCTCTTAACTCAGTAGCTCACGCCCTCGCGTTGCTGTTGAGCATGCCTTCATGACCGCGTGGGTCACGGCAATGGTGGTGGCGGAGGGGAGGGCGCTGACGGTGAAGGCGGTCTAGGAGATTGAGGCAGAGGCCAAGCTGGATGAGAGAGAGAGGCGCACCATGGCGGTGTCGGCGACAAGATAGGATACGCGTCATGCGTAGACAGCAGGTGCCCACGGCCGCAACTTGAGGACTGCCTTCATACAAAATTTCCCCAAATCGGCAGTAGAGTTAGCCTCTGTATAGACATGAAAAGGCATAGAGAGGAGGGGGAGAAGAGCCATGGCTCGACTAGCTAGCCACAAATGTTAGTTACACCAAACAACCTAGCATGGCCACAAGATTCAGACGCCACAAGCAATAATTCATGTATAACCTGATGTTTTGGTTATTAAAACAATAACATATATGTTTTTTTTAAAAGACTACTCTTCCATGCATGGCGGTGTGCTAACTACATATAGCCTACTCGTAAGAGCTTGCTGCAACTTCAGCTCCTCTTTATTATCCTTTCTTATGGTTAGGAATAGAGATTTAAGTAAAAAAAAACTCTAATAGCTTCTTTAATTACATATCTAAATATTGTCATTCTTTAATGGGATTTCTTGCTAACCTAAGACGGAGAGCCGGATTTGCTCCCTAGAGTGCGCACAAGAGAAGTTGTTGGAGGGTGAAAAGATATAAATAGTGATTTTTATTTAAATGGCTCCTCAAATGATAATTTAGAGAGTGAGTTTAAAACAATACTTTTGAAGATGATCTAAGGCGCTAACGAAGCACATGCCATTATTGAAACGATGACTATAACTCTGGTCCTCAACTTATTTTGCACAATTTGGCTTACAAAGAAGACAAAGCTCCAAAGCAACATGTTTTAGTCCTAGTTGACACGGCTCCAAATGCCTTCATCTCCTTGCTATAGTGCGTGGAGGAGCCAGAGTTGTTGAGGTAAAAATTAATGGCTTTATTGGTTCCTAGTTCATTCTGAGAGAAGAGAGAAAACGGATTCCTGCTATAGTGCATGAGAAGTCGAAGCCACCCAGAGCTCTGTTAAATGGGGCCTTACGAATATATTCGGATGTTGTGTGGTTCACTCTCTAAGGACATGTTTGGTTAAACTTGCCTGGTTAAAGCTCTGCCTGTATCTTTGCCTGCAACACGTTTGGTTGGTCTCTGTGACTAGGCCAGGCAGCCGCTCGTCGCCCAGGCGGACAAAATCGGTAGCCTGACTGTGGCTTGGATGTTGTTGCCTGGCATAATTAATGCAAGTAGCTGATAAGCCAGCCACACAAATCATGAGCACGACTCTCTTTTCCTTTTTATTTTATTGTCATCTTGTTGGCATTTCCACCTTTAACCAAAAAATGTCCCTTTATTATATCCTTTTGATGTGAAATTATTATGAACACACGTACGCTAACTTTATCCCTATGAGCACTTCTGAAGGACTGAGCCGGCAGATCTCGAGATTCACGAAGTCACCACGGGCGCCTCACTGTTGACGGGGACGTCGCCTACCACTGAAAGCATAGCGCCGTTAAATCCTGGAATAAATCCAGAAAAATACGAGCAGTCATGCCAAGTCGAGGACTTGAACCCGGGTGGACAGGTTCTACCACAAAGAACCCAACCAACCGTTCGCTTGATGTGAAATTATTTACGTGGATATATCAATACAAAAGTAATATATCAATACAAAAGTACTTATTGCACGTACATAAGTTTTTAAAAACACACACAAAGAGAGTTGTCATTAGAAATATTTAATCTTAACAATTTTACTAATAGACAAAAATCATCTATTTGATAAACACACTATTAATGGGGTTACGTAATCATGTATAGACGATGCAGACATGATTTATCTTCTCATTAGCATTCCCAGGCACAGGCTTCAACCCAAACACACTTCCTCTGAGTTTGCCTCACTAGACAAAAAGCATCAACTTTCCAGGCAAGTCTCAAGCAACATTCACTACTACAGAAAGTTCATCTGTGCCGGCTCCAAACCCCCTTCAGCAACGGTTATGGCTGCCGTTGGTGAAAGTCAACGGTGATAGTCGTTGTTGATCACCACCGGTTTCGACAAGGACATGGTTTGTGAGGCTAGTCACTGCGTTCCTCCTATTGGGGGCCTCCTTCATCTCGAAGAGCCTGTGGGGATGCGATCGTCAGTATGCAGTAGGATGCTAGAGCTTGCTTAATAATGCGATGACTGAAGAGGAAAATAATCCCACAAAGATCGATCACTTAAGTGTGAAAAGCATTACCCTTGCCTTTGGATTTGGTGGCGGTACGGCGTGAGGCCGATAATGGTTGACACAAATTGCAAACAGTGAAGAGGAACAATGCGCTAGGGCGTGCGTGAGGTAGCAATGAACGTTTTTCTTTTGATAGCCGACTGCGGATGGACTTGATGTTTAGACCGATCGGCTGGCCTTAGGGTTCAGTCTAGATGAACGATCCAGATTCAATACACACTAATGGGCAACATAGATTCCAAACAACAAAAAGGATACCATACCATACGCCAAGGAAGACGTGCCTGTCACCGTACTTTATAGTGATGCACAGACACAAGTAAATGAGCATCAACCATCACCGAATAAAATGACGATAGGAGTTGTAACACCACCGTAACGTACTATGCGCGCCAAAGAAATAAATCAATTTAAAAACAAATTCACTAGAACAAACCGGCGGTGAAACTTCTGATCACCACCGGCTCGGCGGATGATGCGGTGGTCCGATCCGTTGAGATTTCACCTCCGGATCATAAAGCGAATCGACGGTTGTTGGTATTTATTAACGCACATAGATAAATCCACAAGCGCACGGATACCGCTGTAGTTTTCACCCAGAAGTATTTCAAGTATCGTATCCACAGGAAACGTGTGAGATAAACTACGGTCTAACTTAACTAAGGGTAGCAATAAGGTTAGGATAAACAGGAGCGTAGAGAGGATAACTAAGGTTCTCTAGTTCTGACTTGGGTAAGTTATGTCTTCTACCATTCCACTGGGGACATTACTAGGGAAAGACACCAGCAGAGGATGCTTTCCTTCGTAACCGAGTCCTACTTGGTCTACAAACAGGAGGTGGACTACAGAGGACTCAACGAATGTGTCACACTTGCGTTCTAACGCTACTTCACGATCTACCACCAGTCCGGAATGTAGGGTGCATCCACGATTAACCCAAGTCTAAGCACCACGCTTACACTTATGATTAATACTTTACTCCCCCTAGGAAGAGAATAAAGCACTCAAAAGAGTCACGATCCTGATGAACAATATAAATAATATGCTTACTTGAATCAGAAGTTGATTACCAGAGAAATCTCAGAAGCAAGATCAAGTAGAACTTGGATTCGCCAAGGTACAAGCCATAGAGAGAGCACCGACAGGCCGGCACCTCCTCTAAACTCTTCTCTCACTCTCTATCTCACTATTTCTATTTATAACACTAGATCCTATGGAGGACTAATCTTCTCTTGATTGCTGGCTCTGATCCTAATGAGAAGGATATGAATTAGGGTTTCATGATGGCTCTCCAGAGGGAGGTACAGGGCCGTATATATAGGGGGTAGCGTCAATTCTGGACCCTCGGATCAAACCGACTTGAATAAATGGCATAGATGCGATCTTTAAGGCAGTGGAAAACAAACGTAGCGAAGAGAGGCTGACCCATGGGTCCCACAGGTCGGTCGGCCTGTAGGTGGGGCCAGCCGACCCCACTTGATAGCCTCTCGGGCTCTGCTTCGGTGGGTTACCTTCGGAGTGCTCTGGAGACTTATGGAGTTGTTTACGCCGCGGTTAAGTGCGATTAAGTCTAACATTTGGGTCCACCTTGATGGTTTTCTGGATAAACCCTGCTGAAAACACAGATTCACCAAAACTTATGGAATTTATCATTTTAAACCCCTAAACCTATGTTTGGTGATGGAATTAGGTATATATGCAGGTTATATTGATAGTTTATGATTGATGTTAATGACCGTTAACAAGCTCCCCCACACTTAACCTTTGTCAGTCCCTGAGCAAAGCTAGACTCAGCAATGGATTAGGAGTTGCTACAATGCTTTCACGCCTCAAAAGTACACATGCGTTCAATCAAGAATTCTCCTCCGGATTAGAATAAACCGATTTGACTTTCAAAGTTACCCATATTACCTTCAACCATGGGGCTTCTTAGCCTTCACTTGGGTCTTGAGCAATTGAAAGACAAAACGATTAAGTCAAACATTATGTCTCAAGTTCTTTGTTCCACCATTGTTCTGGAGTTTTTATAAGTTTTCAAAATAAAAATTAGAGATTTCATTGTATGACACTCTCAAGTCTCTCAATATATGTAGTATTTGTGGATCCTCACCAAGGCATAAAAATGATGTTGTGCCTTTTTCTTCCTACCACTATGGTTTATGTGGAGTTCATAGGTAGGGATAAAGCTAGAGCATACATGCAATGCATATATTGTAAAGTC